TTTTGATCAACTGTATACCCAGTTTCCACCCACGTTAAATAAATGACTGAATCAGGAAGTTACTGTAGATTACTAAAGCAAAAACAAAAACATCAGGAAAAGCTTACAAGAACAGATGACCTCGATTTGGGGTCAGTCACGGGCCCTTGAAATGTTGTCGGGTGTGCGTGCTGGCCCTCATTGAACACAAATTTCAATGGGGTCGGTAAATTCTCAACACAGCGGGTGTGCACACTTATGCAACCTGTCTCTTCATTTTTCATAAAGCAAATCAGGCAGGCAATGGGTGGCGTTAATGGTGGAAACCATTTTGAAATGATTCGTATTTTTGTCAAACGAGTCGCAAAAAGGGTGTGGAGACTTTTGCTATTGGCCGTAGACATTGACACCGTACATACAAAAGAGCAAGTCATGAGAGCGCATCACCCGAGACATTTGCATAAGCGGCCCCGCCTCCCGCCTTGCCTTTCCTGCGCCGTCCTTTTTACGCCCCCTCATTGACGCCGCGACCGGTCGTCCCGTTGCCCCAATCTGCCTCTGTGTGTTTATCGCGCTCTCTCGCTTTCTGTGTTGCCTGATCGTTCATTCTCAGGCTGTAGACCCCCGCCCTGGCCCCCTTCTCCTTCTCTAATCCCATTGATGGATGATGCGGGACGGCGACGGGGACAATCTCAAAGCTAATTCCGCTGATAGCCATCGTGTCGCGCTGAGTAACTGCTACCTTTTGCTGCCACGTGCTCGTCACCTGTGATCAGTAGAATAGCCCCGTTAGCTTCATGCTAACAGGCTAGGAAACGCCAGCGAGGAGCTGAAGGAAATGTGCATCGGTTGAACTGTCGTTATCAACGTTCAAACGAGTTCGCTAAGAACAGGACGTACGCACGGCCCCGACCTTGAATTTTCATCCGCGCTTTGTTGCGTTTTCTCTCGGTGTTTTATACATTCAAAAATGTCGTGCGTCCCTGACTGTATTTTGTTCTGTCCAAAGGGTTTAAAACTCTGCACAATAGCTGCGGTCGTGGGGGGCGTAAAAGATGACCGTCTCGGGTTTAATAACAGAAACAATTGGACCATGACATTCGGTAGCAAACAACACACTGCTCCCCCCTTTTTTTTCTTTTTGCTACACTGAACAGATGGCTGCAGATGGTGACTCATCCAGTCGGTCTTTTATTCTCAAATAAAGCCTTTTGATCTCTATTGTGCAAATGTTTTTTTCAACCACAGTTCTCGACAAGATTGAGGCTAGTCCTAAGTAGGTCTTCCGTACCAAGGGGTGCAGAAAAAAAAAAAATCCCGTCTGACTTTTGGGCGAGAGCGGTGGGAAGGGGGGTGGGGGGGGGGGGGATAACTGGCATTCACATCCGTGCTCAGGAAGGCTGCGGGGCACCGGAGCCCATTTTGCTGAGAGAAGCAAGGGTCCATCACATCGCAGCCTATCGAGATAGAAAGGCAATTTCGAGTCCATGAAAAATGTTTTGGGGATGTGAAAGGGTCGTAAGTGGAGAACCCAAAGAATGGAATCTTGGAGTCCCGGACTGCAAGGAAGTTCGCTTCAAAAGTGGATGATCAGAGTTGAGGCCTTTCCTCAGCTGTTGCCACAAAATTGCAAGGATGCCGTCGTCCTAAATGGGCAACAACGTGGACTCCGGCGGGATCTGTCCGACCGAATTCGTTTGAAGTGGAAAGGCGTGGCCGGAACCAACAGGCGCTAAACACAAATGAGGCAAGCGAAAGCGCCAAGGTTGAACACAAACGAGACGGCCAGGACGCAAGGGCAGCCTTGAAAGCGATCGGCGGCAGGAGTAAACGATGCAGACATGGCTGATTATTTGATTTTTTTTCCTAAAACTTTGTCACTGTTCAGTTCAGACTTAACGAAGAAAGCGGGAGTCGCCCCACACCTGCAAACACAGCTGCCGCCAATGACGCTGAGTAATGTTTGACTCGCTATCACTTAGCTAAAACATAGCTTCGCCGTCTTTGTGGATGTTCAAGTGTGATGTCATCGTTTTTGCGTCTCTCGTCTTTGAGTGGCCCAAGCTCGCGTGTTGCTGTTCTCTTTTTCCTCAATTTGATCAAAACCATCATCCTCCGATCCAACTCAAAGGATCCTCAACGCTCCCTTTTGGATTGCTTCAGTGTGAGCGTCTGCTCCTTGCGAGTGTTTTCATTTTGCCCCGTTCAAAAATGACATGGGCGACCGTGGCTCTCCTTTACATTCTCATCAGTTTATGGAGATTCCAAGTGACGGCTTGTGACCTTGTGATTTGAAAAGCCTGTAGGCTAGGTCTCGCGCGAGTCAAGGTAGCGCTGAATATGAAAAGCTCTCTCATTTGGTTGCGTCCACCTCCATCGTGCGTATAAATGGAAATTCTTTGCTTTTGTCGACTGCTGTATTTTTAATGTCGGGAGTCATTTCCCCAAGGGCCTCGAGACGTTTATATTTGCTTTAGCCTCGGGTTAGCCAGGCCTTGATGCATATCGATGCCGGCACTCAATAATAGCCTGAGTGCTTTGTATTATTGATAAGAGTGCCTCGACGTACCTCCGAAGGCATCCAAAGGAAGACGAAGGAGAAGGATGATGAATACTTCTGGGCGAGGGGGGGTTGGAATACACGATGTTACCTTGGCGTCCACGTCGCCATTGCTCGTCTGTCGCCAATCAATCTGAGCACTAGAGCGACACGCGCAAATTCCCCATAAGCGTCGGTGGTGACGGCGAAGGCAATGATCGATGGCAGTCTTGGTCGCAGTTGATGTCTTTTCAAATGCGGATGAGTGGACGCCAGTTTCACCGATGAACGCAGAAATGGCTGCATTTGTCCATTGCGACATTGTAACTCTTGCCTTCGCCACTTCTCGGCTGGATTGCTGGAAAGCACTTTACTTTGGACTCGGCCGATCCTCCATTAAGTGTCTCCAGATGGTCCAAAATGCTGCTGCTCGCCTCTTGATGGGGTGCTTGGACGCAGGAGCGCATAAGTCCGACTGTGGCAAATTCCAGGACTTGCACTTGGAAGAACTCCGACTAACAATTTGCCCAATTGAGAGCCGCAATCGGAAACTTCCCAACTCCCATTTCGCAAGCCGGTGAATCCTGGTCAAATGTATCCATTTTAGGGGGCCCGAACACTTCCCGTCGCAAAACTCACTGGAAACGAATGACTTCACTTTGGAAATGTAGAAAAGACATTTGGGTTTCAGATCGAAAAATAAACGTGACACCAAAGTTAATTATTCGACGAACAACGTTTTTTTTTTAATGTTGTTTTTCCAGTTCCTTGAATGCCATCCCCAATGCGCGGGCCGCTGTCCTCGGAGTAAACGTGAAAACAAAGAGCCGGCAGGCAGGGCAAGGGACGGCAGATGGCATCAAAAGCCGAGTCGACGAGGAGGAAAACACAGTTGTCATCAAGGGAGACCAAACAAGGGTGAAGACTTTTCACAGGATGAAAGTCGGCTTTAGCTGGCAGCCCTGAAGAAGACGAAGAAGAAGAAGGTGAAGATGCTCATTTGAGTGTCCTGCTAAGAAGTCGTTGTCGTCACCGTCTCGTGAATTATTCATGACTGCTCGCCTTGCCGTGTGCACGCTCCAGAGAAGAAACAAAACCCAGGAAAAGTTTGGATTAGAAGGCCAAGTCAAAACAGTTTTTTTTTTTTTTTTCATAGCGTGACTGAACAATGCAGCTAATTAGCTCGCTCCACATCACCAGTCATTGTTATTTATTTACAGGGATACATTGACAAAAAAAAAAAAAAAAAAACACCAACTCAACTTTATGAACTAATTCACTTGAAACTATTTTGCAGCGTATTGCCAGCCGTTTTCGAAGGCCAAGTCAAAACAGTTTTTTTTTTTTTTTTTCATAGCGTGACTGAACAATGCAGCTAATTAGCTCGCTCCACATCACCAGTCATTGTTATTTATTTACAGGGATACATTGACAAAAAAAAAAAAAAAAAACACCAACTCAACTTTATGAACTAATTCACTTGAAACTATTTTGCAGCGTATTGCCAGCCGTTTTCGAGCACACTGACTGATCTTTCAAGACCCACAGAATAAGAAGCAAGTAGCGAGTGCTAGATGCTCGTCTTGCTACAGAAGTGGTTGGTTTCTACTTTTTCTTTTTCATTCTTTAGCAGATTCACCGAAAACACTGATTTCTAACCAAAAAACTGAGAAAACAACTTTTTTGGAGGGGGTAGGGGGGAATCACACATCAAGCAGAACTTTGATGCTTTTTTTTTTTTTTTTGCTTTTGTGACACCTCAAACTATAATACAACCAAAACGTGGTTCCGAAAGGGCGTTTGATGGTAAAATGATATATTCATAGACAACGCTGACTCACCGCCATGGCTCGAGTTGAACGTCAGCGTCTCTTTTTCCGCGCCGTTCGCCATTCACCCCATGAACTGCTTCGGGACAAGCCAGGATTCACCCTCTCATCTTGATCTTCTTCTCAAAAGCTGTGCTGTTCTTAAATCCAAAGTGATGCAACACCGCCATCTACGGGGATCTCTTTGTTACTTCGGTGGTTTTACAAATCCACAATGTTGCGTTTGTGTCCATATCGGCAGCTGACCAAAGAACTCTCCCCCGGCCACGAGAGAAAATATCGCTTGTCAACATTGAGACACAGTAAGCTTTTTTTTTGCCGCAATATAATACGCAGGGATTCACCTGCCTTGATCTCCATGAGCTCCCTTAGAACCCGGGGTAGGAGCAAGGGAGAAAAACAAAGAGTATTTCCATGTTGTCGACATCTTGTCTTTACACTGATCGAGCAGGTGATGTAAAAAAAAAAAAGGCAGGATATCAAGTGGCTGGTTAATATCCTCTCTGGTTGGAGTGTGTGTGCGCGTGTGTGTGTGCACGTGTGTGCGTGAGAGAGCTGGATGTGTAAATGCGTGAGTGACAAGTTGGACGTCCAATGAATATTAAACACAATGTGACCACAGTGTATGCGCACGCTTGTTTGTTTCCGTGCAGGACGGCATGGGCAACCTGAGAATAACAGCGGAGGGCCTCAAGCTGGAAGGGGACTCGGAGTTCCTACAGCCTCTCTATGCCAAAGAAATCCAGTCCAAACCGGTGAGTCACTATCTTGCTCGATGACCACATATAGCTTGAAAGAGTCAAACATTTATTCCCAGCTTCCATTATTATTATTCTTTGCATTAATTATGGCATCACATTGAGTTGCTCATATGCCGTTTCAGTCCCTTCACTCACTGCCAGAGATAAAAAATCTAATTTCTGTCTTCTTTACATTCAAACAATTTTCTTTTTTTTTTTTTGGTAACACTTCTTCATTGAAATGGCTTAAATTTCAAAGAATGATTCCTAAACAAACCGAGGGCACTTAGTTGGCTGCACTGGAAATGACATCTGATTGGCAGCTCCTTTAGTTCGAATTGCTGCGGTTTTTACATCACCGCAAAGCCATTAAAACGCTTAAAGAAAAGACATTTCTCTTTGTGTTTCGCGAGAGACGATGACCTCCTGCTGAGACTAACGTGGATCCGTTGCGTTGGCAACTGGAAAAGATGTGGGATGTCGGATCAGAGGCTGCCGCGTGCCACTCGTTTACATTGAACCCTCGTGTAGTGAGGGGAGTGGTTATGTTCCGGACCCACCTCGCGATAAAATCTTCAAAATGGAGAGATCGTTCGAAAATATCTCGTTTTATAGTTTTACGCCTCCCACATGCTTGAAACACATTTAGAGTGATCAATATAAACTTTTATACGTCATCCTTAGAACATTTTTACCCGTATTGCTAACCCTGTATTTTGTCCCATTCCGAATGGTATGATAAAAACCAATCCATCCATTTAGATTTATAAAATGAAGGCATGAACACGATGTGCTTTGCAAAGGTTAAAACAATTTTGGTACACCGCAATAAAAGTTCCAACAACAAAAATGTACTGAGCTTTTAACTACTGAGCACATTTAACTAACTACACGCATGCTTTCTGTTTTGTCTTGAAGTTGTAGAATGTCCTTTGTTAGCCGGTGTTTTGCGTTACTGAAACAGTGTATCGTCAGTGATGTAAAGCTGGAAGTTATCTGCATATTTATGTTGTGTTTGTGTACTATTAGAGAAAGTGGAAGCATGTAAACATTGAATAACAGTGAGCTAAGAATTGACCCTTGGGGGACGCCACATGCAATGTCCTTCCTGTGGAATGCAAAAGGGCTTGATGAGATGACGTGAATGTGTTTTCTGTCTGTGATCGGCAAAAACACTTGGATCCATAGTCTTGTTTTTCAAGAGTGTGGTTTTTTTTTTTTGTCTTCACTTGAACTGCTTTGTATTTTTCATGAATGAAATGGAAACTTTTTGCCGTTTGTCCATCCACAGGGTCGCCCCCTGTACCTGCAGTCGTCCCGAAATGTATCGGTGAACATCGTCAACAGCAACAACCAGCTGCTCACGCAACTCGTAACAGGTACGACGCGGCCGGAAAATAAAAACGCGTTTAAATTAAGGATCGCTCGTCGAGCCTTTTTCAAAGGCTGACGACACGCAGGGCAACACCACAATGAAAAGAGTTTTCCTTTCTGATCTTCGTGTTTGCAAACCGCATCGGTTTGTTTGTTTGGGCATCGTCAAAACATTTCAAAAGCGACTTTCATGTAAAACTTCACGCTGGTATAAAATATACATTTGAAGTCAATTTAAAAAGAGTCAACCTGATAAAAGATAGATCTGCTGATGCCATACGAGCCGACCGCATTTTAGATCCCACTGTCAGTGGAGTGTCGACCCATGAGGTCCTATTTGTTGTTTTTTTTGTTTTTTTTTTTCTTCACCCGAATCCCAGTGGAATTGTACAACTCGGCGTGTCACTTAATCCTTCGTGCTATACTGCACCGCTCCTTTAATGTGCCACCAGGTTCCCGCAATCCACACCCTGCCGTAACTCTGCCGCGACGTTGCACTCTTGCGTTAACAGAGCCTGGCAGACTAGCGACGTCTACAAATCAGTCTGAGTAAACAGGCACGCCGAGTGTCTTTGGCCCTGTCTGAAAGGGATGCGAACAGCACGCTTCCCCCGTTTCCAAATGGAGAGCGACAGAATCCATTGCGAGTGTCAATCAGCCGCCGTTTTTGACTACTTTGGTGCACCACTTTGTTTCGGGGCTCATCTCGCTGCTTCGAAATAAAGCTTTCATTCCGTTTCTTTCGTTACTTGAGCAGCTCGGAGGCTCTGTTGAAGTTGGGGGATCCTTACGAATGTGCGGACGCTTGATTTCAGGGTCCTTGAGACTTTTCCGTGTGTCCTGTTACAGAACACTCACAAGGGAACATGGAACAGCAGGCGCAAACGCTGCACTAACTGGGTAGTCATTTTCAATTTCGGTTCTTTTCAATCGGGGGAAATTTATTTTGTTTTTCGGGTGATTGAGTTACGAGCAAGTCAAGCTAGCGCAGCATCGGCATAAGGACAGTGCATGACAATGCAGAAGAATATATATATATATATATATATTAAGCGTCTTCTTCTGTGTTTATTGGGCTTAGGATCCAGCGGGTTCAAAGCGCAAGGCAAAATGTTCGAGGTCAAATCCACATCCGGCAAACTCCTCTTCTCGGCCGATGAGCAGGAGGTGGTGGTGGGCGCCGAGAGGCTGCGGGTGATGGGTGAGTGGTCCGTTGTTTATGAAAAAAAAAAAACAAAAAAAAAACAAACAATGCTGATGGGAGAGGAACCATCTCAAAAACAAAACGACTCTCTGATTTTGTTTTTATTTCTTTGGGTGTTTCTCTCGGTTTCAGTGCTTTTAGCATGTGTACGTTCGATTTTGTCCAATCAGATTTCTCCCTCTGTGTTGCCATGTCAGTCTAATCTGCCCAGGCCCTTCCGAATACGCCGTGCTAGCCCATTTAGCTTCAGACATACAGTGAACCTCAACATGTGCTCAACGCAGTAACAGTGGTGACGGGCGTTATCTTCATGGCAAGGAACTATGTTGAAGTGATTTGAGGTGTTTCCTTGCCGAAATCCCAAGACAATTATAAATCATTTGGGGATGACTGTATTAGCAGTAGGACTGCTTGTTCAGCCTATGCAATTTCCAATTTATCCTCCCAGGGCCAGCCAGCCGACGTGACAACGTCAGCCTTATTGCATCTTTTGATTGATTGGTCTGAGCAAAATTGATAACAGGCAACACGTTAATACGTTTTCATTTCGTCATGTTATTAGATCAATATTGTTGGTGGCACAGTTGTTACAAATTGCGTTTTTGTGTCATATGGATGACAGTGGTGGATTAAGTCCGCTAAACTGGAAGCCCACGTCGTGCACGCCCCGCCCACGCACGGGAATCCTTTGCCTCAATATGCCCATCAGTCATGGCGAGCCTTTCACCGGCGTAATGCGCTCATATTGGAGTCAAAATGTATTTTGAAAAAAAAAAAAAAAATGTGAAGGAATCTCCTTGGAGGCGTCGCCCGAGACAATTTGCTCCTCGCTTTTGCAGATGGGAGCGATTACTCCGGCTGCTCATCTACATGCACTTAACAACCTTTGCAGTCATATTTGGTTAGCGTCAGCCTACTGGAAAGTGCCGCCGAGTCGCAGATGGCGAGGAGGAGATGGAGGCACGGATAATTGGACGGACGTTGCATTGTTCCACTTTTAAATCTCGGTAGAAGGCGTCCGTGCTGCGCTTTTTGCTCCAGGAGACTTATGCATTTTTAAAAATAACCTAAAACGGTTCCCAGGTGTCTTGCGAACCCCGTCCGTGTCGCGCTCTTGTTTTAGCCTTGCTGAAATCGGGCGCTTTTGAGGGGAAGGTCCTGCCTCTTGGCCTCCGTTGTCGTCGGTTGCGACCTGCTGGGCATCTCTGACTTGCCCTGTCTGAGGCAAATAGCGAGCATCCATAAAGAGAGTCAAATCATCGATTGTATTTTCACTCATGGCGGCAGCACTTCATCACAAAGCCGCCTCTCTACACTTCACGTCGTGTCGGGGTCCAAACATAACGATGACATTTCAATCCGGAAAAATTCAAAAGAGTTTAAAAGGGATGTTTTCAGAAAATATCAGATCACAAAAACATTTACTAGTTTGTGTATATTACTTCAACTATTTGGATATTCAAATAAAAATAAGGAATTGATGATTTTTTTTTCATGAGAGAAGTTGGATTCACACTTCCATCCGCCTCTCCGGGCGATTTCGAGCCCTGCTAGGAAGCTTGTTTTGGGAATGTGATGGGATGCGAGGCAGGCGTGCTTACCGCTTATCCACCGTGCTGCCTACCAGACCGCCATTATTTTCAATTTCGTGCCCCCCCTCCCCCCGAAGGGCGATCAACCGCAGTCTAAAAATCTCTGTCATAGACCATGAAATAAGGTGTAAATAAGGTACATTGATGACGCATAGAGCTTTAAATAAAAAAATTAAAAAAAATAGATTGCCAGCAGCAGCTGGCAAAGTCTTGCTGAGGTTACCGGAGTCAGTCGAGGCTAACTCCGTGTTTTTTAACGGTTAAAAATCACTTGGAAAAACAAAAACAAAAAATCTGAATCAGAACACGCTTCAGAAAATACATCCTTTTTTTTTTTTTTTTCACAATACACACAATTTGCGAAAATGTGTACGTTTTCGGGTACGCTAGGATTTCGTGGAAAGCTTTGGAAAATGCTCAAGGTGCCACTGGAGTTTGGGGGGATTTCCAGGTACCCACGGTGAACTGTAGCACTTGAAAGAAACACTCCGCAAAAACCCCTGCGGACTCACAAGCTTTCAGCAGCAGTTGTAGTTATAAGTCCAAACCTGAAACATATAGTGGCGCCGCTTCCATGCGTCGCGGCGACTTCTCCCCGGAGTGGCGCCGGCCACCTCTGAATCGGCTCTCGCTTCCAAAGTAAGCGCTGCTCACTCATGCGGCGCGCTTCCTTCCCCCCTCGGAGATCAGCAGCGAGCGCGGATGCGTTCAAAGGGAAACTCCTGCAGAGAAGCGGAGCGGAGTGGCTCACTGACGAGGAGGGAGGGGTGGGGGGGGCGCTTTGGAGTCACCTTGATGCTGAGACCGCAGCGCGCAAAGGGGTTTTTATTTACCTGACAAATGGGGTTACTTCCCGAGCGATCTGAGCGAAAGGACGGGTTGCTTAAAGCGCTTGTCGCTGCCTCGGTCTTCGCCTTGTGTCCGCAACCAATTGGAGGGACTGTCAAAGGCCTTAGATTCACTCGACTCAAGATGGCGATTCAACCATCCGGGAGTGTTCTGCTGCGCATTTTTCAAGAGCTTGGCTTCACGATTGCTTTTGTTGGGGAGCGCACACACACACACACACACAAACACACACACCACGGAGAAGCGTGTTGTGAACACTTTGAAATCGTGAACAGTTGAGCCCTTTTGTCTGGTCTGTGGGTGTGAAGCTGTCAATCAAATACCACTATTAAGTCCCGAGAGAAGCGGTTGTTAACCTTGTTCGAGGTAACGAACCCAACCAGTTCATGTGCACGTTCACTGAACCCTTCGTTAGTGGAAAAATAAAAATAAGATTTATTTACAAATTCAAGACATTAAAAAAAAAAAAAACACATTTATTAAAAACAGGAAAAAAGAAAATAAAATGACATGGAATAGGTTTCGGTGTTTTAAAAATGGTCTGACGTACTATCACGACAGTCACACGTTGACTACTGAGCTGGACTTAATTTCCCGCAGCACTGATTGGACAAGCAATGTCATGTGATCATCTGCAGCCAGCGATGGCCAAGCGCGCTCGTCAAAACTAATTGACATGCTGAGTCCGTGGCAGAGGCTCCGTCGGACCCCTGAGACCGATTCACCGAACCCCTCGGGTTCGATCGAACCCAGGTTGAGAACCGCTGTCCTAGACAGATGAGTGACGTAAAATGTGAGTTTTCGTCATTGCGGCATGGTGTCAAAAAATAAATAAATAAATAAACCCACAAAACTCTGGCGCCATCCCAATCGCTCCACTCGTCTTTTCCGCGGCAATTACAATTAGCCTCCTTTGATTTGCCTCCGTTTATGTCCCATTGACTCAGCGTGTCACGCTCAGCGCCTGGCAGACGGTCAGGAGGAGCGCATTATCAGCTCAGGATGCGCTCGTGTGATCAGCCCATCGCCTCCCCGTTCCGCCGCCGCAGGGCAAACGGAGGCAGCGCGGAACGGAAAGCGGATGATGAGGCCGTGATTTCTTCCTTTCTTTTATTTTTTCCCCACCCCTTCTTCTGATCGTGTGGTCACAGCGACTTGTTTGGCGAACGCCTCGACCAATTTTGTGCTTCGCGGAATGTCTAACCAGGCAGCCATATTTAGCTACAGGGAGATCAGAAATTATAATTTTTTTTTTTTTTTTTTTTTTGTGGCATCTTGGTTTGAAGGAACTATGTTGAAGTAAGTTGAAGAGTGAAAGTTCACGCTAAGTTTTACTTTGCTGCCATCTTGTGGCGACTTTATTCCAAGGAACTCTGTTGAAAGGAGTTGAGCATGTTCATTGGCGCCAAGAAACCATGTCAAAGTGAGTTGAGGAGTTTACCGAGACAAAAGTAGTGCTTTTCTGCCACCTTGCAGCATCTTGGTGCCAAGGAACCATGTTGAAGTGAGTTGAGAAGTTCCATTGAGACAAAAGGAGATCTTTTCCACCATCTTGTGGTTTCGAGAGTACATTTTAAAGGCCGCTATCAATTATGTCCATGTTTTTGCTCTTTTGTAGCGTGATGCCTCCTTTCCTTGGCTTTTGCCGTTAAAGCGTGAAACGGCGTGATCATGTCATAAGTTCACAGAGACGAGGTGTCGTCACTTTAATATTTGCCATCCGTCAAAGCCTCCGCCGCGTTTTATTCGCCGCCGTCCCTCCTCCGGAGTGGACGCCGTTAAGCTGTAATGAGACGATAAAAGACGGCCGAGTTACCGCGCGGAGGCAGACGTCCGCCTTTCTCGCCGTTATCTGGAACGTGTGGCCAATGTGAAACGGATTCCTGCTGGCCAAACACATCCGTAAAAAGTGCCCGGCGCCGCCGCCGCCAACGTGCTTGCTGTGTGGTTCTTTTTGTTTGAGTCCGTAGGTTAGCCTTTATGCACGCACGTGGACCAGAAATGATGATTGCATACGTTTTCCATCAAAAGTTGAGTGCTATTTTTTTTTTTTGTACTTGACTAGAATATCCTATTTGTAATCTAATAACACGCTGTTTTACTGAGGAGTTTTGACAGGCTCCATGTACATCCATCTATCTGTCCATATACTGCCCCCGTGTGGCCAAGTCACACACATCAGAAGGAGCAGCACAATGTCTATTGATTTCAAGCATTAAAAAAATAAAAAATGGCTCGGATGTGCTTCTGCGTTTTGTACGTTTACGCTCCAGGAAGCTACCGGCAGTATTGAGTTTTTTTTTTTTTTCTGTAAAAGCCCTTTTTGTGTTTTACACTCCACTTTCATTGTATTTGTAGGAAACTGCTAACATGACAGAAATCTGTGATACAGCCTCTTTTGTGCTCTCACACTCACAATGGTAAGCGCAATCGATTTACACCCGCTGTCTCTTGATAGGAATTAAGTCATTTTGATCCAAGTGGGATACCCTATTTCTGAAGAAAGGAATCGGTCCGTGTTCTGTTTGGTAAGAAAGGCTGCCGTGCGCCTGAACG